CAAAACAATCTCAATAAATAATATATCGCGACTATAACGGCACATCACTTCACCTATACATGTTCCGGTAACTACCTATAAATAGATGGAAGTTTGACCCGTGTCAAAGGTTGGGAGGTGGCTGACGATTCGGGAGGTGTCTGCGGGTTGACGAAAGGGAAAAGCGCATCGGCTCCCATCATTCTCCATTCTATCCTATGCTCGGATGCGCTAAAAAAAGTTACATTATCCCAATCTTTTCCTGTCAGCCATCTGTTTAATCTCTCCAAGGAGGTAGCTATGGGTCTACTCCTGCTTCGATTGCCTTGAATGTTGCCAGTGAGAGCTTGATGTTCAAATCCTTTATGTCTATTAAGTGTGCCGAAAACTGTAAATTTGTATTTTCCCGATTGCTTTTATCAGCGTGCACACAATCTACATCTGTAGGTTAAAAAGTGGCGGGTACTTAATTATTACAATTGATTTATTAAGAATTATATACATTATACAGTATCATTTTATTTTTTTCTCTGACAGCCACCCCTAAAGATCTCCAGCCCTAAGAGCATGTTAACAAATTCATCGCAAAGAGTTGCGAAATAAGGAGAAAAAAATATCACCTTTCAGAGTTATGTACATGTATAGGGTTTCATCTTGACGCATAATCAAGAGCTTACTTAGATTGGAAAAGGACAAAGGGGCAGCGGATTTTGGGTAATTTTTACGAATCAAAACTGCTTTAGCTGGACGTAAAATGTTCGGCCTAAGCCAAAGCCCACAATCCCGATACTCAACACTAGAAAAAAAATCCTTTCCGATTTTGTGTGTGAAAAGGATAAGAGAATTACTGCAATAATAATGATAGGGATCGAATAACCCATATCGCTGAACGAAATTGTCATATCTCACTTTTCGCAAAAACAGTGCTAATTGATTTTCTTTCTTACACCAGTTTCTCACCTTTTCCTTTTTGTGTACTCTACTTTCCGGATAGCGTTATTCCTCATTTTGCAGTTCTAAAAGACTGATTTCTTTTGTGTCAAAAACAATTGGTGTACTTTAACGAAACAATTTGGCTCCAGGCCTTAAGTGGATGATGAGCCCATTGTTAGGGGTGAGATGATACTACTTGTATTTGGTGTTTTAGAAAAAATGATTCCTACGTCCTTACGTCTCGATATAAGGTTCGTTTCCTGTTATTATCCCCTTGAATTTGCAGCTTAGAGGGTAATTTTTTGTTGCACAGAAACTGTTGAGAATAAAGGATATAAGCAGCAGAATTGTATTGTTAGTGTCTTTAAGAGGCTTATTTCCAATTGTGTTGGTTGATGAGAAAACCTTGGGCTGTCTGAGAGTTTATAAGCTGAACCGTTGGAGGCCTACCCTGTTCTTATATTTCTCTGTTTGACATGAAATTTCTTGCATCTGTTTATTGTCAAGATATTTATATTCTAAGATGTATGATACTCTTTTAAGGAATTTCCTTTCCTTTTTAACCGACTCCGGTTTTATTGTTGCGATTTCCTTATCTAACCACGCCCTGCCCCACAAGAAACCAAAATAAACCCCCCACCCAACCAACCCCCCCCCAAAAAAAAACGAGGGAAAAAAAACACAAACAAAAAAGCAGCAAAAATACATTATGTATACGACGGAATATGCGAGGCCATATTGGTAATAATTTGTGTTATTCGGTCTATACCATTATCACTACAATAATCCCTTTACCCCCCGCACAGAGAGAGCAGAGAAGGATCTTTTCTAGTACAGAGTACCGGGATTGCTCACTTTTATGTTACTTTACCGTGCTATGTTCTCATCGATGACGTGGTTTTTGATGTTTCAGAAAGGTGTGCTCTTTACTCTGTTGTAGATTTTTTATGTTCTCGCTAAATCAACAGAGGCGGAGACAACAATTTAGGTTTTTATTCGATTTTAACTATGCCCATTTGCTCAAGCTTTGTAGCATTACTTACATGCGACGCTTGAGATCAAACCAGGAAATCGTTGAAGAAAACTTCAAGTGTGACCTCAATTTGGCATTTGGCAGCCTTCTCTTTAGCTATTATAAGTATTAGTAAGTGTACAGGTTTTGCCCAGGTTTTGTATATCTATTTAATAACACATCCGTGTGTGAATTTTACAGAAAAATGTTGAGATTAATGCCACGTAAATTTGCAGTTTCCAAGGACACTACAAATTTGGAAGTCATTAAACTTTACCAACCATTTTATGGCTGATTTTACCTCTGGCACAGGGCGACCCCCACACCCTTCAATCATAGATATCTCAACATCTATTTAACACAATAGAGAATGAGTTTTTCTATAACCAAAAAGCCAGGCAAAAGAGGAAGCTTCAAGATTATACCGATAACTCTATATCGTTATGCCCCATTACAGACAAGCGCTTAATTCCACTTTGTCGAGACAAACACTAAACATTTTTAGAATAAAGTCAAAGAAAAAAACCACCAACAACAAAAAAAAATATTAAAAAATTAACAAACGAAAAACCAAAAAACAAACAAACAAACAACCTCCAACAACAACCCACAACATCCCCTCCCCCCACAAAAAGCACCCCTCCATTAAAAAAAAACACCCAACCAAACAACAAATCAAAAAAGAAAGAAAGAAAGAAAACTAAAACGACCAAAAAAACAACAACCCAACAACAAATAAACAAAAGAAACAAACAAGAACCAAACAAAAACCAACCAAACAAAAACAAAACTATACAGAAAAATATTCCGACGTCGTACCCGTGTCTCGGTGAGGCTGAGAGCGGCTGACAGCTCTGCGACGTCCATGCTGCTGAGGTAGTGGGTGCGCCGGAACTTCTCCTCCAGGACTACCACCTGGTGCTGGGTGAACGGGACACGAGGGTTCCTGCCCAGCTTGCGCTTCTTCGTGCCTTCGTTCTTTTTGCTTCCTGGGCGGGTAATAGATAAACCGTCGTCATCATCATCATCATCATCATCATCATCATCATCATCATCATCATCATCATCATCATCATCATCATCATCATCATCATCATCATCATC